TCTCAAAAAAAAAAAAAAAAAAAATACTTTTCATGCATTACCTAATTTACATGACAGCCCTGTAAGGCAGGTGTTACTACCTCCAATTTATACATGAGGAAACGGAGTCGTAGATTAAATAACTTGCCCAACGCCAACTTTAGTCTGTCCGATAAAGAACTTAAGCCCTGGAAATGACTTGCCATGCAGGGCATATCTGAAAAGGCACTGATTTTAGGCTTTCTGTGTGATTATAGCTCACTTTGTAACATTTAACCTCCTGCCTCAGCCTCCTGAGTAGCTAGGAGTATAGGTCAGTAAGACCATGCCCAGATAATTTAAAAATTTTTTTGTAGACAGGATCTTGCTACATTACCCAGGCTGGTCTCAAACTCCTAGGCTCGAGTGATCCTCCTGCCTCAGCCCCTCCAAGTTCTGGGATTACAGGTATGAGCCACAATGCCTGGCCTGCAGGTTCTTATTGATGCAAATGTAAATCATTTTTATTTCTCTGACCCTGTGCAACACTTGATTAGCCTATTTCCCGGCACTATAGATGCCTGAAAGTAGTAACCATTTCTTAGAAAAATTCTAGAATTTTCCTTTTTATACTGACCATGCCACCCATTGAATCCATGAGTAATACTATATTTTATTATCAGATTACTCTAGATCAATAGAGCACAAAAGCAAAAATCAGGTTTACATTGGTCATGTATGTAGCCAGCTCTTTACACCACCTGGCAAAATGGGAAATTAGGAGCATAATGCCTACCTGAATTATAACCAATCAGAATTAATAAAATGTGGCTAGGTAGTATATGCTTATTAGAAAGAATTAGCAGGACACAAATGTTTTTAAGGCTGTTATTAAAATGGAAACAGAATAAATTCAGTTACTGCAAGCCCTGATTATCTTTTCCTTTCTTCCTTTTTTTTTTTTGCTTTGCGTATGCCGGTGATAAGAATGTCAATTTTAACTAAACCTTATAATTAAATGTTTCTTGCTTTTTCACAGTTTCCTGGGAAATAAATCAGTATATATCTGACTTTATAATTTACAAGCCAGGAGGAGTTACTTAATTGTTTGGAGTAGATACACATGCTGATTTTAAGAATTTATTAAATTTTTTTTCTAGGGATAGCTTGATGTTATTTAATTTTCTGGTTAAATGAAGATCTCATATGGAAAACATCTTTGTTTCTACCTTTACATTGAAAACCTTTCTTAATAGACTAGCAAACTTTCCTGTCCATCTGAGGCCAATCGAGGTAGCATAGCTGAATCTTTCTATTACCACTAAATATTCTATTGTCTCTGATAACTCTGCCTAGAGGAGGTATAAAGGTGAAGATACACAAGAATGAGCTGAATGTAAATGACTTGTGACATTTAAAAAATGTTTTAAAAACCAAATAATCCAACCAAAACAACCAACCAACAAAAACCTCTAACATCCAGCTTGTGTGTATATGTGACTGCTAAATAATGGGAGAATTCTGGTTAATTGAGCATTCTAACTCAGGGAGGAAGCCATGAAGCTGCTAGCATCTGAGGCAGACGGTCGGCAGAAGGTGGCAGAAGGTGGAATGGTACCAGGCAAGCAAGATCAAAGTGAAGGGAAGAAGGGAGGCAGAGTGGTAGAGGCTGTGGGGTGTGGTGTCGTGGGACCAATAATATATACACTAGGGGCTACTGTGATGGGCATCCTCCTTTGACCTTGATTCTTGTCAAGAGCCAGTAGTGCTGTTCCCCTGAAACACGGTGGTAGTGTCACCACAGACCAAAATAAAGGTTTGACTACTGGAGTGCAAAGACAGTTTTAAAAAGCAAAGGAAACATTTCACTTTTTAATTGCTGACCTGACTTCAAAGTGCTTTGAGGGAAGACAATGTGATTGCCTCTACCTTATGATTAGTATAACAGAGTGAACTTATTAGTCGAAGCCAGACAGAAACAGCCCTGAAAATAACTCTTCTTGCTCCTGGCAGCTAGTCTAAGAAGTTTAAAGCTTACTTACATGTAGCTACGTTAAGTTAAACTTCTTTTAGTCATTAAAAGGTTTAAATATAAACGAATGAAGTGTGCCTGTCTGGGAAGCGAATGATGACCCTGCACATACACAAAATTCTCGGATTCATTTGTACAGTCTACTTGTACTTAAGAAACAGATTTCTCAGAAAGGGGCTCTTATTTGCTAAGTGACTGTCAATATGAAAATCCATGGCATTAGTTATTTTAGCTAAAGAATGTCAAGAACTGAATAATCAAGCATTAGGTTACAAAATTTGAAAGTTAATACAGCAGCACACAGTATCTGTATTAGCACTTTAAGGAGATAAATTAAATTGAAATGTGTCTCTTAAGCAGTCATTGAACAAGCAAGATGAGAAATAAATTGAGCTTCGCATCGGCCTTTATGGCATCTAACAACTGTGTCTGTCAACACATGGATCCTTTTCACTGTCAATTCAACACACATTTTGCAGACCTTGGGCCTGCAATTATTTCATTTCCTTTCTTGGGAATGTAATTTCCACTTACTTTTAGAGAATAAAAGGCAGACAAAGGGAGGAAGGAGTTGCAGTATTTTCTGATTAAGACTATCTGTGTAAAATGGTAAAGAAAAAAAATCTATACACACACACTGAAGCATTTATCAGTGAAACTAACTTGTCTCAGCCAAATTGCTTTTGTGTCTGGATATTGGTTCAAATGTAGCCAGATTGTTGATGTCAAATTAGGTGTTAAACAAATTTAATAGGAAAGATGAAGAATGAATATAGATCACCTTTCTGGGAGAACTGTTCAAATGACTCTCGTCAACAGAAAAGAAACACATGACTGCAGGAGAAAATGTGCTTTTAAACACAATGAAATTAGATAAAACTGTAAATCAGCAAAGAGGGCCATTCATTCCAAAAGAGAAAAAAAAGTTAATAGTACCAATGAGAGAAATACAAGAGTGGAAGAAAATACCAGCTGGCCAAAAATAGATCCAAATTGAATTTCAACTTCATTTGTCCAGGTTTCACCTTTTAAGCTAAGACAGCTAGAGCTACAAAAAAAGGAATTCTTTCTCTCTTGATAGAACAGGAAATCAGAGGTTTAATTAACTGTGATTACAATATTCGGCTGATCTGATTTGTCTCACCTCTTCCTTTTCTCTGTGTGACAAACTAGCTGACATCCTGGCAAGAGAACTAAAGCAAAACTGTAGACTAATTTCAAAAAGAGCTTGCCATTGTTATAAAACAAATTGATCCTCTACTCCATCTGTCTGAAACACATTCAATAGCAGGATTAACTCTTTGACAATCAAAGTGCCACTGTGAAGCAAGTCTGTAGAGATGACTCTTCACATAGTATGTTTTCATTCTCAGGATATAGCAGTATTAGGCTGATATTTAACTGAGGACCAGAAAATAAGGTTGTGAAAATGTACTCTTCAGAAGCCCCTGAAAGATCTAGTATCTTCTTCAGCTCCTCCTGAACCATTAAGAAGGATGTTCTATTTTATGAAAAGGACCCCCTGGGCAATTGAAGCAGCATCAAAAATATACTACTGGGACCTGATCAAACTAAAAAGCTTCTGCACAGCCAAGAAGCACAGCTACACAGTAAGTAAAGCAAGCAGACAGCCCTCAGAATGGGAAAAGATATTTGCAGGTTATGTCTCTGACAAAGGTTTAATAACCAGAATCCACAGAGAATTCAAACGTATTAGCAAGAAAAGAACAAGTGATCCTATCACAGGGTGGGCAAGGGACTTGAAGAGAAACTTCTCTGAAGACAACAGGCACACGGCCTACAGACACATGAAAAAATGCTCATCATCCTTAATCATCAGAGAAATGGAAATCAAAACCACTTTGAGATATCATCTAACTCCAGTAAAATTAGACCACATCACAAAATCCCCAAACCAGAGATGTTGGCATGGATGTAGAGAAAAGGGAACACTTCTACACTGCTGGTGGGAATGCAAACTAATATGTTCCTTTTGGAAAGACGCTTGGGGAACACTGAGAGATCTAAAAATAGACCCGTCATTCGATCCTACCATTCCTCTACTAGGTATATATCCAGAAGACCAAAATCATATTATAATAAAGATATTTGTACCAGAATGTTTTTTGCAGCCCAATTCATAATTGCTAAGTCATGGAAGAAGTCCAGGTGCCCATGACTCATGAATGGATTAATAAATTGTGGTATATGTACACCATGGAATACTATGCAGCCTTAAAGAAAGATGGAGACTTTACCTCTTACATGTTTACATGGATGGAGCTGGAACATATTCTTAGCAAAGTATCTCAAGAATGGAAGAAAAAGTATCCAATGTACTCAGCCCTACTATGAAACCAATTTATAGCTTTCTTATGAAAGCTATAACCCAATTATAGCCCAAGAAGAAGGCAAAAAGGGAGAGGGAGGGGTGGGGGGAGGATGTGTGGAGGGAAGGTAACTGTTGGGACCACACCTATGGTGCATCTTACAAGGGTACATATGAAATTTACTAGGTATAGAATATAAATGTCTTAACACAATAACTAAGAAAATGCCGTGAAGGCTATGTTAACCAGTTTGATGAAAATATTTCAATTTGTATATAAAACCAGCACATTGTACCCCATGATTGCATTAATGTACACAGCTACGATTTAATAAAAAAAAAAAAAGAGGGATGTTCTAAGCATTTAATCTTGAAAGACTGATTGTCTCCTGATGCAGATTAAGTATATCATCCAGGTCAATTCTTTGTGTAGAAGAAGAACATGATTACAAAACCAGTTCAGGAGAAGTAATTTTCTTTGTATATGATATCTGTTTTGGATCTGAATGAGATCTCTAAGCCAGGAGCCTAGAATCAAAACTTGGCTCATCAAATCCAAGAAGACTATTTATTGGCTAGACAAATGAAAATCTCTCCAAAGAGAAACAAACCAAAGAAACACACAAGTTAGTCATTACAGATTCTTCTACACACTATTTAGTAAAGAGCATCATTACTTACTGAAATGTAACCTTGGAACTTGTGCATTCTTCCAATTTACAGGACCCTTCACCTGCCTCAGGTGTTGGGGGGGACGGGCTGTTGAATTCTGCCTCCAGAGTTTTCTTGTTCAAGGCTGTTTTTGTTACACTGGATACAGAACCCAACACCGGCATGGATTTGGACTCTGAGGTGGCTAATATCCCGGTTGGACCTTAAAACCAAACACATACCTCAAGTTTAATAATTCTGCACGATGCTTATTAATATGGTACTGAAAAACAGATTAGCTGAAAATCCCTCAAGAAGTGAGAAGGCCAAGTTTGTTAAAAATTTCAAGAGCATGCTGGAAAATGTTCCTCTTAGAAATCTGCTGTTTGGTGATGCTACTGCTTTTCAGGGCACCAGGACCACGCTGAGAAATTGTGTACGGACCTTTAAGAAACCACAAAATCCCGGGTCAGAGTCGCTCACTGACCAGAGTCCTTAGTAATGCTAGAATTGTGAAAATCTTTTCTTCTCACAGAGTATGGCTTTCTGACCGCCCTACTTGAACCATACGTCTCTCAAGAGTTCATTCTTCCCAAAACTCAGCTCTGCATTTTAAACAGAAGATGGAACAATGTCAAAGGCTCTTTCTAAAAGGCTTAGGAACCCTTCTCCAGCATTAAGCAGCCTTTTATGAACATTTTCATTTTAATGTGAATGAGAAGTAAGTGGATTTATTTCCTCTCAAAATACAGACACAGGATCATAAAAATTAAGTGAAAAGGTTTGGCTATTTACCTTTAGGACTTTTCTGCTCTTTGGGACAGGGTATTTTCTATAATAGGGCTTGTTTCTGAAATTATTGGCATATCAATCTAAGAACTCTGGCACCAAAGTTAAGCTCCATCATGACTTTTTTTCTGACTCTAGGTAGAAAGATTCTGGCGTAAGCAGTTTTTCCTCAAAGTAAGATTCTAGTTTGTCTTTCTTCAAACTTCAGAAGGAATGCTTTTAAAACAGATTTATGAAATAAGTTACAAACAAATAATTTCTAAAAATGAAGCTAGAGGAGAAATGTGAAAGGTGCCATTAAGAAGAGCACAAAATGTGGGGGTCTCTCTATTCCTAAGGAATGTCAGATCCTCTCTCAAGACAGAAAGAACTAGTGGGTACAATCCAAAGTGCTAGCTAATCTCTGACTATGAACAAACTCTGGAATGTTACTCTTATATCTGGATATGAACCAGCTTGATGGACTACAATAGTATGACATACCAACTCTAAAAATGAGAGTCTGATTTGGAAAACCGACCTAAGAGAGACTGAAAAATTATTTAGGCATTCCGTTAGCAACCTCCTTTAGCCTCACTCTATGGAGTGAGGGAGCCGCAGGCCCCCGTACAGTGGAAGAAAGCATTAGTGTCTGCTGCCTTCTTTATTTCATCTATACTATCTGGGCAGACACGTTAGTGACATCATTGAACTTTCTAGTTTAAAGGGTCTTTTCCTCCTAGCTAAGTTAAGCCTCATATTGTATGGCGACATAAGAGTAAAGGGCAGAAAGATCAAGAAATAAAGTTCCTAAAAACATACATATGAAGATGAATTTAAGATTTGCTACAGATCAGCTTTTTTCTGCCCCTGGATAACTGTGGACTACAACACCAGAGAGCACTAAACAATCTGTCCTTGTAGGAAAGCACGATGTTTCTAAGCACACCGATGCCTGCTGCTTGTTCTTGCAACTGAAGCCATTTAATAAAAAAAGATGAGTAGTGAGCTGAGCCAGAGATCTTACTTTTCTCATATTCAAAAAGGAATTTTAAAAAATGCACAGTATTTAAAATTATTAAATAATTAATAATGGGTGGCAGACTATTTAAGCCACCCACAGTTCTCTAAGAGGCACTTGCTGCTCTCTGAAACATCAGTTTGGTGGGTCACAAGGCCAGGTTAAGACAAGGGACCATCCATTAGATTCATAAGAAAAATTCTAAAGATGAGGGTTCATGCTTTGTTCCTGGCAGAAATAATCCACTAACCTAGAACTGTGTTCTGCAAACCTCAGGCTGCCTCTCTTGCAGTGCTTCCTGCCTCCATTTGTGACCTCACATTGGCTTTCCCACAAGGCTTTGTGTGCAAAAGAAAACGGCCTCAGAGATGCAAGCATCAGAGGCACCAACCTATTGACTCCTCAACTCTGTCAGCTGACACCCTCCATGTAACTGTGCTCTTTTAACATCCTCATTTCCCCCCTCTTATTTTTGTCTTTGTCACACCATGGCCTTACTAAAAGGACTCATATGGTAAATGCCTCTTCTAGTTTGATGCTAGAAAAATGTACCATTTAAAAAATGGTATGATTTCTTTTTTAGATGATAGAGTTGTTGAGTTTGTCTTACCCCTTCCTTTTTCTGTGCTTTGGCTATTAGAGAGCTCAAGAAAAATTTCTGCTCAATTACAAAGCACTCCCTCAGCATGTGTTACCTCTCTGCCTCACCAATGACAGCTCTCATTTCTCTACTCCTTTACTAATGGTTCTACTGAACATATATCTTTCATTCTAACTTCTTTCAAATACAAAATTGAGCATGTGTCTTGGTGAAATACAATAAATAAAATGAAAGCTCCTCACTATGCCTATAAAATGTGTTCCTTTCTCCTCTATTAGAAATGCCCAATTTCCACTAAAATGACAATGCTTCCTCATTTCTTCCACTGAAACTCTGAAACAGTAAGTGTTGCACATGTGTGGCCAAATTCATGAGTGAAGTAAGAATGTTTCTGGAAAAACCAAAAGGTCAGTGACAAAAGGCAAAATGTAAATGGCAGGGCCCTACAATGGCATTCACAAAGCCCCCAAAATGGTACAATGGAAAAGATGACTCAAGCGCTGATTAAGTCACAAAATGAGTAACGATCACCAGGAGGCTGCAGAGATGCTCGATGCTGGTAGAGCAATCCTAAGAAGGAAACATCTTCGGGCACGCCCCAACTTTCCAAGAGGTGGTTATTTTCAGAGGGAGGGAATTCTTATAGGATTCAGATGGCAGAATTTCCAGACCGAACTAAAAACTGAATGACTGAACTTTTTACAAGAAGAAAACAAAGGTTTCACCTTTTTATAATAAGAGTTTGGTATTATACTGCTTTTGATTCAAGAAATCAATTTACTCAATTGTCTGAGTAAATCTATAAGCAGTAACTTGGAGTTGGATTATCAAAACCCCATCTTTAATATTCTAGCAACTTAAATTTGGTCAGTGTTACTCAATATTTTCCAGATTTAAACTATTATGATTGACTGTTTAGAGCTGACTGGGCTGATTCTAAAAGATTCAGCCCATTAGCTATAGCTGTTGATTTCTTTTACTTTACAACAGGTCTTCAAAGTCAGCCTCTTATGTGGCCACAAGGCAAGAGCCTCATACAGATTTCTGTTGACTCCTTATGATCAAGCTGATGAAAACAACTGATGATACAGAGTTCTCGAACAGATCTTGAAGCCTAATACACACTTAATGTGGCACAAATACAAACGGTGAGCTCAAGACTTGTTCAGATAGTATATCATGGTTGGTAACAGAGCTGAATTTCTCACTCAGTTGGTTCACAGGCAGATATGATAATCTAAGTGGCCATAAAGCAGTGGTTCTCAACCTGTGGGTCACAACTCCTTTGGGGGTTGAACGACCCTTTCACAGGGGTCACCTAAGACCATCCTGCATATCAGATATTTACGATTCATAACAGTAGCAAAATTTCAGTTATGAAGTAGCAATGAAAATAATTTTATGGTTGGGGGTCACCACAACATGAGGAACTGCATCAAAGAATCGCAGCATTAGGAAGGTTGAGAACCACTGCTATAAAGAGTAAAGATGTTTTTCCTGAATTTGTAACTGATGTGTAATTACTACTATAACTACTAATTCTTGTGTGCTTACTTCATGCCAGGCACAGTGCTAAGCACTTTTTAGTGACTTAGAGAATAATCCTACGAAATAGTGTTTTTATTGTCCTCACTTTATAGATGAACAAATTGAGGCACAGAGATGTTGGGTTATTTGCCTAAGGACAGAACTAGGATTCAAACTCAGATGGTCTAGTTCAGGACCTGTACTTGATGCTATGTTGTTGCCCAAATCTGTCCTGAATGTCTTTACACAGGCATCTTGCACTAAACAATCTGATCTATAAATGTCTGATTACCTACATGTAAATAAACAAACATACCAATAAATGAAAATGCATACCAGCTCTTAGGAGACATCCACAAATACCTCTGCCCATCCAATACTTCTCACTCACATTAAAAACAAACATTTTAATAATTTTTAAAAGATTTCGTATGTAAAAAGGAACTTGAAGAAAGATGTGTCAGAGATGGAGAGCAGGACTGTGGAGAATTCAAGCCAGCTTACTACTGCTATCTGCTTCTGCTGTCAACTTTCTGCGCCGCAAAATCCTTTCTAACTCAGTTTCACTGTTTTCAGGGTCAAGAGATTTTAAGCTTCTTGAACTAGTGGATTTGTTAAGTGTCCCCTAAAGTGAAAACAAAACAAAAACAAAAAGGTTAATGTCTTAGTACAATATACAAAAGAATATAAAAATCAAAACATTACCAGAATTTGAATGGAATTAGGAAATAAAACAAATTCACTACATATAGATAACTATGATATATATATTTAGTGTGCTGAATCATTTAAGAAGATGCTGCTGATGATACAGATGCTAGCTTTCATATCAAAAGAACAGTAAAAATACCTCTTGATGAGCTTACTACATGAAACTCAGCCACGGGAAGGCACCTACATAACGATGATTAAGATTCTGATGCGTGTTGACTGGGTAGAGAAGAGAATGGATAATTAAACTCACCTTAAAAGAAAATCTTGATATGGCAGACGTGAGCTACTAAACCCAAATCCTTGTGGCACTGAAAGCTGTGTGGCTGATTCTTCAGAGAGGGCCCCTGGCTGCGTGCCTGATGCCAATGGTGTGTTATGGCTGCCAAAGGAGGCACACGACGCTCTTGGGTGGCCGCCCCAAAGGGCTGCCCTGAGCACACCTCGATTTCAGGTGTGAAAGGGGAAAGTTATAATCATACAAAGAGGCAAACAAGGGTCGGGCCTCTTAATTCCAAATTACTAATAGAGGAGACAGGGAACATGTTTTTCAGGGCCCAGAAGATACTGATGGGAACAAGAGAAGCTACAAAGCTGTATTCCTGCTGCACCTGACATTGGCTTTCAAGAAAACTGAAAGACCCATGCAGTGGGCCCCGTCCTGGCTCCTCTAGGACACGTGTTATGGAAGGAAAGCTGTGGTTTTCCATCTCCAATACTACGTCAAGTGTTGGAACAGAATAGTGGGTGATATACTTCTTCTCAATTATACGTTAAGAATTTAATACTTCAGCATTACAAGGGGGGGGTTCCCCCCCATAAGAAATGTTTACTGTTTCTTTGAAATGGTCCTCTTCAAATGTGCCACAGGCTTGAACAACAGTTGGAGGAAATAAGAACTCCATGTTTGGAACAACTTATCAAGACTCATGCCAGAGGCAGAGGCAGCTTTTGTCCACCAGGGCTAATAACCTCACCAGCCTTTGTGATGGCTGAACTCACTGAGGGCTTGTCTTAATCCTGCTTCCTCCCTGTCAACTTCCTGAAGGATTCTGAGAATTCTACTGGCTATAAAATGGTAACCCATGTTTCTTCTTTACTTTAAAATATAACAAAAAAGGTTGCTTATAAAATCAGATAGTTAGGAATCTCACATAATATAGATTATATTGTTTTGTGTAGGAAAGTTTTTCCCCCCTAACTGCTTAAAATTATGGAAAAGCAGCCTGCTATCATAGGGGGATTATTAGCTACAAAACTCCGAGATTATATTTTGCTGTCAGCTGCCTAATCAAAAGATGTGTAAAATACTTAGATAAGGCTCATATTTCAATCAGGCATATGATATTTTTCCCCTTGATACATATATCTGTCTATTTATCTATCTTTCTATCTATTTATTTCCCCTTTTTTGACAGAGAGAGTCTCACTGTTGCCCTGGGTACAGTGCTATGGCATCACCATAGCTCATGGCAACCTCAAATTCTTGAGCTTGAGTAACCCTCTTGCCTCAGCCTCCTGAGTTCCTGGGACTAGAGGCACCAGTCATGCCCAGCCACTTTATCTATTTAGATGCAGATCTCTATCTACTCACAGAAGAATCACAAAGTCAGGCATGGGTGACCCTGATGAGGTAAAGAAAAAAAACTAAGGTTGCTTTAGAGACTTTTGTAAAAATGTACTAGAACCACCACTCCCACATCATTTGTATATAATCTCTAAAAACTTACCATCTGTATCATTTGAACTTAGATATTTAAAAAACTTATCACTATTGAAATAAGCTGTAAAATTGTCACCTTGTTTAAATATCAAAGACACTCTGTTTTCTCCCAATGGCTGGAGTTAATTTAAGAAAAGGGGGGGGTATGTGTATACACAGATACATATATATAACTTCTAAGAGTATCCTTTTCCAATGAATTAATGTTTCACAATATCCTCTAGTTTTTCATTTGGATAACAGCATTATTTCCCCAAATCCCTGACTGTAGTAAGCTACCACCCCCTCCTACCTGACACACAGAAGAAATCCATTTTCCAAGTTCTAAGCTTTGATTCCCAAACTTCTTTCTCCACTTACTGACAGATATGGTTGATTCAGCTAATATATTAGTAAACTTTAAATACAGAGGTGACAATGGAGGAAAGAAAGATTTCTGCATGACTGTCAACTGAAAGGATGAAGAGCTCAGCTAACAAAGCACCAACATTATCTTAGTTACCTATTATAGGTAAGAGAATTCAAACGCAGTGATCCTCCACCTCTCCACCAGGTTCCTCCCTAAGTCAGTGATGGGGCTGGACCTAGAACTTAGATCTCCCAGTTCTCTTTTTCTGCTTTAAACCACTGTGATCATTTAACAATATTAGTCTCCATGCTAGTTAAATGTTTGTAATATTGATTTATCTGCCAGGTGGCAAAATTAACTATTTAGCAATTTATAGGTACTCTGAAAAACTAAAAAGGTTTGAAAAAGACCTGTAAGAGTCCTTTTTTTGCTTCCTTTTTTTTTTTTTTTTTTGAGAGAGTCTTACTGTGTTGCCCTTGGTAGAGAGCCATGGCGTCACAGCTCACAGCAACCTCAAACTCTTTGGGCTTAAGCAATTCTCTTGCCTCAGCCTCCCAAGTAGCTGGGACTACAGCTGCCCGCTACAACTCCCAGCTATTTTTGTTGTTGCTTGTCATTGTTGTTTAGCTGGCCCAGGCTGGGTTCAAACCTGCCAGCCTGGGTGTATATGGCTGGCGCCCTACCCACTGAGCTATGGGTGCCACCCCCTTTTTTTATTTCTTTGATTTACAGCCAACTGAAGCTGAGGAGACTTTCAGATTATTTGTATCAATTTATTTTTCAGAAATCACCATTGTAAACTTCGAGTGGTTTTTCATTTTTTTTAGACAGAGTCTTGATCTGTGATCTGTCACCTAACTGGAGCACAGTGGCTTCACAACTCACTGTAACCTAAACTCGTGACCTCAAGCATTCTTCCCACCCTGGACTTCCCAAAGTGCAGTGAATACAGGCACAAGCCACTGCACCCAACTTAACAGTGGCTTTTAAATGACTGGGGAGACTCAAGAGGTTTCATTTCCAAACCCACAAACCCTCATGTAACTATGAAAAACGGACTATATATACTTATATTATCTACAAAATATAGAGCTTTAAAAATTAAGTGGAAGTAGGTTTGGAAAAATGAGTTGAGTCAACACTGAAACCTTGAAAATTGTACAACTCAAAAAATCAAATAGGATTTTCCAACTCCCCCACACCGGAGACTAGTTTTCTAAATGTGCACTAACTCAGCAGTAGGCCAAATTTTAAAGTTTTATAACATGAGTCACATTCCATTTCAGCAAAATTACCCCACATGGAGCTTCCTCCTGGTTTCTGTTCTATAACAGAACCGAACACGGTGTTTCCTGGTATCTCTTGGCACAGGTGCTGGCTCTCCACTTCAGCACACAACTGTAGGCTTTCACGTCCTTTCATATCGGTTCTTTACGTGCCATAACTGTGAGGTTGGCATCATGTGCTTTACTGGGTACTAACTTTGATAATCTAAACAGCTTGAACTTTAGCAAGAAGCACCAATAAAGACCCACTTGTTTGGCAGACTAAACTGGGGCCTTTCTCTTTGATCCTTTCTCTCTTTCTCTCTTACTCTCTTTCTCCTTTCTCTCTTCTCTCTGCCCCTTAAAAGACTGTAAAATTTCTTGGCACAGGGCAATTTCCTGTTAGAAATGGTCCATTCTCTCACAAAGATACTAGTTGTCATTTCGTAAGGAAGAGTAGGAGAGAGGATCATGAGTTTCACTTTTTAGGAAAACTTCATGCAAAGAAATAATACTGTCAGCATAATGCCCTTTGGTGATACATTAATGCCAGATGAGGCCGAGAGATCGAATGATACATCCAGGGCAAGAAGGATAGGGACAACTGGAAGAATAAAAGGATATTTAAAAAAATTTTATAATTTGTAAATTATTTCAAATTTCTTTCCTTGAAGTGGGACAAAGTTATGGTGAATATGATATTTAAGAGTAATGCTATAATTTAATAACTTTGCTAGCATTCAGAATTACCAGGAAATGGGATACTTTGGACAATCAAGTATTATCATATGGATTTCATACAAATGTCTGATTTTTTAAATAAACCTAATTTTTAAAAAGTCAAACTTAGTGTGGTTTTACTCTTTTACAGATGATCAGGACTGAGTCCCAGAAAACACCTTTCTGGACATGAGTTAGCATTATAACGTAAAGACAACAAAAGGCGCTGTTACAGGGAGTTCTCCTTAGAGGAACGCTGGATAACAAAATTTTCAGATCAAAGAGTTCATTAGATAATAATCCCATACTTTTTCAATGGTTTTAGGACTTTTTTCCATAGGTAGACCCCCACTGTTAGCCAGTAATACACCTCTCCCTCAGTACTAATCCCACTCACTTAAAACTAAAGCAAACTAATTAAGCCATTCTGAGTTAAGTCTACAGTTTAAAGACATGCTTGATGAAAATAATCTTGTTTACCACAATTATGTGGATGTCTACACGCAATGCATAATTAGCACAGTAACAACAAACATGGGGGTATTTAGGCCTGTACCTCCGCCCCCATGTTTGTTGATTTACAGTGCATAATAACTGGGGCTGTAACGGGATCCGAGAATAGAGCTCTTAGTATCTCAAACATTTTCTAAGTGAGGCATTTGTCTCTGACAGCAATTGCTGGAGAGAGTAATACCATGTATTCCGTTGGCAAAAGCTCACACTTTGAAAAGCAGAAGTACGACTGGAGAGGGCCATGAATCATGCTCTTCAATCGATATGAATTACCTTTAGAAAATGAAATTAGTAACATAAAGAGCTTCTTACTTTATTCTCCAATTTCTCATCAAATAATTGTTTCAATTGTGAGAAAAGGCAGATTGTAACCCCGATACTAACATATTTGGATAGGAGCTCAGATTTGCATTTAGGTGTCAAGAACTCCACTTTCATGCCTCAAAGTAAAGCACTGTCCAAATAAAACACCACCCATCTATCAGATTTTTATATTATTCCTAAACATGTACAGATTCCTACATATGCCCAGACACTTGATTTCAGCTGTAATGCCAGCATTGGAGGTCAAGAACAGGAGACGATGCATTTGGTGAAAGCGTAACCATTCTTTTAGAACAGAAACAGCAAAATGTTTTTTGGTGCATTATTAACACAAAGGATGGAGGAACAGTAAGTGCAATCACGTGAACTGGCAGAAGAAACCGGACTAATTGTAAATGGGAAGAAAACATACCAAAAATAATTATTCGTTAAAAAGAAACAGTTATAAGAGGGACTTTACCTAACAAATGCAGTCAGCGTGCAACTTAGCTCTTTGTACCCTCAATGAATTCCTAATAATAAACTTAAAAAATATCCTCCTTTCACTTCCCCATTAACTAAACAATAAACCAAGATATATTCTTACCAGTATTCCTTTTAGTTCATTCACTGCACTTTCACAGCTTTTTGAAGATTCTGGCTACAATTAAAAAAAAAAAATTACAGAGTTTTTAAGATACCAGACAATGATTTTTACATGGCAAAAATACTGGTAGTTTAAACGGGTGATACGTATGACTGTGTGACTATGAGGTCGAACACTCATCCTAGAAAAAGTCCTACAAACCTCCTTGCTGAGTATCACTATGGTCACCTTTGTCAGACCTTGTACGACAACAGCCCTCATGGCCATTCCTGAAAAAGAGTTCCAAAATTGCTTTGAAGGGTGGACTAGGTGCTGCTATCAGTGCATAGCTTCCCCAGGGGAGCACCTCAAAGGTGACCATAGTGATATTCAGCAATGAGGTATGTAGGACTTTTTCTAGCATGAGTTTGCAACTTAATTGTCTGACCTTGTGTGTATATATTTTTAAAATTAGGTCTATCCTTAAGGTTAGGAAAAAACATGAAACATTTAAGTGCTCATAATCACAGTTAAAATAGAAAATTAGAAGTTATATTCAGAGTGAAAGGAAGCAAGCTAACATTTTCTACATATGTTGTTACCTCTTGGTCATCACCATACATAGAAAAAGTCTGATAAACACTAGATTGAAGAATCTGAGTCTACATAATTCAGAGCTTTTCACGATCAACTGTTTGCCCTTGTGTTGCTGGACTCCACCAGGAAGCAAAGATTAGGGCAAAGGCAGCGCAGGACGTGAGGAAGCAACAGGGCAGAAAACCTCTCTTAGCCTCACCGGCTCCGGGCAGAGGTCAGCCTACGGGGCCTGCCATGTCTCATCTCATGAATTCCCCAACAGGACTGAGCTGGGAGTCCTGGGACCAGCCAAGGACCTGGTTTACAGGAGAATGTTGGTGTAGTTGGTTGTCAAGAGTAGGAAAGAGCCCTCAAGGGAGTGTAGCCCAATCACTATGAAATCTTAGGAGGAAAGTTAGACTCAAGAAAGTATCTCAGTTAGGTGTCCAAGCCTACTTCTCTTCTGGTCACACCATGAGCAAAGTAACTTGAAATAAAATTTTGGGTAAGATATGCCTGCCCTACCATATCTAATAATTTCAGTGGATCCTACAACTAATTTCACAGAGGGAAAATTTAGCATGAGGCCCTCATGAAAAAGAAGTTCAGAAAAGACTTCTGACCTCCCCTGTACCACCTCCCTTCACAGGAGCAGGGATAAAGAGAAAACTTGCAGGGCAGTGAAAGGAGTTCCTTGAGTATCTCAATTCCAGGAAGAGGCAAGGCTATATATTTGCTCTCTTCAAAAAATGGGAGTTGGTCAATAATCCTTTCCTTTAAAAAGAGAATAAAAGAAAAATATCTTTCAATTTTTTTTTTTTGGCCATGGCTGGGTTTGAACCTGCTACCTCTGGCATATGGGGCCAGCGCCTACCCTTCTGAGCCACAGGCACCGCCCTCTCCTTACAATTTTTAAAAAGGGAAGCAGAGAAGAAGTGAGAGAGGTCGCCACTCATGTACAAATTTGATTAAGGCATTCAGTTTTCATAGCCCAGGTTTTCTGTGTAATACACATGCCCTCGGTGCCAGTCATAAGCTTCAAGTTACTAATTTCAGCCATGCTGGCACCAACACGATCACTAACAAATTTAGAAAATAATGCAGTTAAATTAGTGTTTTCAGCAGGGTTAACTTCTGCATGTCAGCCGTTCAGGTGACAAGCTGTAACAGTTCAACAAATCTGCCTTTAGGCACACCCAACATGCTGCCATGCCACTCAGCCTGCCCTCCGACTGCACACACGTTCTGAAGCCTGAACTACATGTTCTTGCAACTTGTGACATTTCAGGGAAGCCATGATGGCACTGGGGGAAGACATCTGCCCTAAAGCATGCAGTGGTCATATGTCTTCAACGGTCATTCAGCATTACACCTACACAGTTCAGTGATTACCAGAGAAAACCCAGGTGTCCACTGATCCTTGTTCAGTTGCTTCTCAGATTTTGAATGGACATTAAATAATGTGAAACTGTTAGAAGAGTCCCAAGAAGAAAGAAAAAGCAGGCTCAGCGCCTGTGGCTCAAGTGGCTAAGGTGCCAGCCAC